CAGCGCCTCCACACTGGGGAACGACCCTACAAGTGTGGGGAGTGTGGGAAAAGCTTCAGGGACAGCTCCAGGCTCCTCACCCACCAGCGCCTCCACACCAGGGAACGACTCTACTCGTGTAGGAAATGTGGGAAGAGCTTCAGGCACAGCTCCAACCTCCGCACCCACCAGCTCATCCACACCAGGGAATGGCCCTACAAATGCTTGCAATGTGGAAAGAGGTTTCAGACCAAGTCCAAGCTCCTCAGGCATGAGCAGACACACACAGGGGAGAGGCCCTTCCACTGCACCGAGTGTGGGAAGGGCTTCAAACGCAACTCCCACCTCATCAGGCACTGGCGCATCCACACTGGGGAGAGGCCCTACAAGTGTGGGGAGTGTGGGAAGAGCTTCACCCACAGCTCCCACTTGACCAGACACCAACGGACCCACCAGTAAGGGAAGCCCCTCAAGTGCCCCGACTGCGGGAAGAGCTTTGGCTGCTGCTCCCACCCCGAATGACCCCCCTGAGGCAACCCCTGGAGTCCAGTGACTGTCAGTCCATCCCTTTCTACCAGAAAGGGCCAGTCCCCTTTGCCAGGGCCAGGTTGTGCCAACAGAACCCTTCTTGGGGGGTGTGTGGAGATTCCTGCCTTGGCTGGGACCCCCCAAGGTCACTGCTGGAGGTTGAGAGCAGAGATCTCCCCACGAACATTGGTCTGGGGGAGTTCCATCCCTCTCTAATTCATAATTCTTGCTTTGGTGCCAGCTTGAGTAGAATTGCTTCAACAATTGCTTTAGTGTAGAGCACTGTCCTATCTTACGCCGTACTACTGGTAGTTTTAGTGTTTCTATTGTGCAATAAATAATTCTGATGAGGATTTTTTTTCTGATCATTTGTAACCCTAAATAATTCATTTCTATCAGTAGATTGGATTTGCCATCCTTAAAACCTGGGGGACAAAAGTGGTTCAGTCCCCCCTCTGTAATTCCTCTAAACTGAAAGTGTTGCCATAACCCAAGGCTGAGATTGGATCCAGCAGCCCCCAGTACCCCACAGTAAGTTGGGAGCTCAGGGGGTCCAACCCCCTTCCCAGCCCTCTGTGCCCAAAGATCCCTATGGGACCATTGGACCTGCCAGACCAATCCCCCCTTTTCCACCCTTTTCCCTGTTCCTTCCACTTTTCCATGATCCCTTCAATCCACAGCCCCCTTAGGATCACTCTGGACGTCCCAATCCCCACATTTGCTTCCCTCTCCCTCCCTTCCACATCAGCCCCCCTGGACATGGGGTGGGTCCAGGCTGTGCCCGAGGCCCCGGGGAGGGGCTGTGGCCACTGCTGGCTCAGTCGCTCTGTAGGGAGAGAAAAGGGGGTGACACCGGGGTGGGGGGTCGCTGGGGGGGCACAGATGCTCTGGGGGGGACACACGACCCCCTGGACCCCCCTCACCTTCTGACGCAGGTGGAAGCTGAGCCTCAGCGCAGGGAAATGAAGGCCAAGCTGAAGCCCCCGAGCCCTGAGGAAGCCCAGCAGGGGCCTTGGCTGCACAGTGTGGCCCAGGGTCCTCCTCTCGGGGCCCCTGACAGTGACTCTCAGCTGGGGCAGCTCTCAGGGGTGTGCACAGATGGCTGCCCTGACTCTGGGGGCCCAAGGCTGCTGCTGCCTGTCAGGGCTGGCACAGAGGGGACCTGGCAGCCCCTCGCCAGCCCTGGGCCCCCTTGGCATCCTGAGGCACAGCTGAGTGCTGCCAGCATTGCCAGCCCTCTGCTCCTCGTGTGCCATGGGCTGAGCAGATCCAGGTCACCTCCCATTGCTCTGCCAACCCCCTGGGCCTGCTCTGGGCCCTGCAGGTCCTTGCCCTGCTCCCAAGGGCTCTGGGGGTGCTCAGTGCTCAGGGCTTGGGCTTTAGAGCTCAGGGTGGGGATCAGAAGCTTAGGGGGGTTTGTTGTTCTGCTGGCAGTGTCTGGTTCATGATGAGGAGAAGAGCTTTTTGGGCTGGGTCAGGATGAAAACTTGGGTTGTCCCACGAACAGTGCAGATTTGGGAGTGGGCTGGTCATTGGAGGACAAAGAAGAGTCTGGAGTTCTGGATTTGGGCTTTGCCTTAAAGATCAGATGGAGGCTGGGAGTGGAGCAGTGGATTCCTTCCAGTGGGAGGGGCAGCACTTTTAGGAGGTGTTGGGGCTTGAGGTTGCAAAGGGGGAAAAGGCCCCTCAGGAATGTTTGCACAGTTGGTGCTGCAGCACCTCCAGCATTAACCTCATGAAATCTTTGATCTCTTTTATCCAAACCTTCTTCCCTCCCCCAAATCTCCCATTCTCTTTGTCCCAGTTCCTCCTGACCTCCCAAAATCCTTCATCTAGGTGGGCTCAGCTTTGTGATGACTCTCAGGAACCCTGAGCATCTGCTCTGGGAAGTCGTGGCCTGAAGCCACCAGTGTGGAATTTAGGAGAGTTGAAACCTCTGCAGAACAGAACTCTTGGTAACTGCTGAAGGCTCTGAAGGTTTCCTGGCTGGCATTACCAGACCCTTTTTCTTTTTTTTTTTTTTTATTTCAACAATTGTTCTCCAGTTTTTTTCACTGACAACACCTTCTATATATTATATGAAGCTGAGTCTTTCATTGTCTACATGAATAGTTTTGTGCAGTTACTTGTCAAAGTAAATATCCCACCAATGATTCAGTTATAGAAAGATGGCTCAGAGGAAAGTCCTGATTTTTGGGGCACCTTTCACATCTCTTTTTTTGCCTCTTTTGTTCTCCCTCTCCCTATTTTTGTCTTGAAAAAGCTCTCCAAGATATGTGTGTCTGGCAGTGTTTTCACACTCTGAGCTGTGCCCTGGGACAGGGGACAAATGCACCTTGTAGAGAAATCTGCCAGTCCTGCTGACAGAAGTCCTCTGAGTGCCCAGGGGAGATGGTGCCCAGGCTGCTTTGCTGGTGTGGAATGAAAGGGCCAGGCCAGAAAGGCAGAGGAGGGGGCTGGAGGAGACAGGGCCATTGGCAATGGGTCTGTCTGAGGCTGGTGAGATGAATATCCCTGGGACAGTGGGGGTTGTTCCTGGAGTCACCTCCAGAAGTGTCAGGGCTCTTCCAGGGCTCCAAATCTGAGCTGGGCTGGGCTCATGCCCTGCTCACACCCTCAGGGGTGCTCAGAGACACGAGGCCTTCCCTTGCACACACACACACAGTTCCTGCAGCAGGGGCAATGTCTCCTTGGCTCCTGCTGCCACTGCCAGGGACTGGAGGCCCCTCAGCCCTGCAGAGCCCCCACCCTGCACACTCACACCCTTCAGCTGAACATTGGGGTTTTCCCCTCCCTGGCACTGCCCAGTCCAGCCCCTCCCCGGTCCCCCAATCTCCCTGGCCCTGCCCCAGCCCAGAAGAGCAGCCCAGTCAGGTGTGACCCTGCAGCAGGAACTGGAGGCACTGGAGCTCAGGGACAGGCACTCTGTGACTGCAATGCTCAGCAGATCAGCAGCTCAGGCAGCTCCTGCAGCCCCAGGGCCAGCCCCGCTCCCCAGCAGAGAATCGGCCCGGGGCTCCTCAGGCACCATTTGCCTTCTCCAGGGGCTCTGGCCACCACCAGCACCATCTGGAGCAGCCTCAGTGCCTCAAACCCCACCCTGGGACCCTGATGGCACCACAGGGACTCCGTGGAGAAACCAGCAAGGCAAGGACCCTTTTGAGAGTCAGGCTTATTCTTGAGAGCCCTTTCGAAGCAGACCTGAGGCTTCAGGCTGTGCCCTGAGCAAATGGATGCCCTTGTGTGGTGGAAACACTGTAGGGGAGCCCAGCTCATGCCAGCAGTGCCATGGCCACAGCTCTGACCCAGCCCACCACAGGGACCAAGGGGCCAGAGCACTCGGCCTCACCCGAGAAACAGAGGGGAGGGGGGGAGGAGAAAAAGAGCAGCTCTCAACAGGCCAGATGCTGCTGCTGCTCCCTGCCAGTGCTCCTGGGCTGGACTCTGCTGCTCTGCCCCTCTGCACACAGGCACTGCCCTGCCAGATTCAGGAGAGGTCTCAGAAGATTGAACTCTGAAAAACAACTCACTGATCCTTGACTTTGTTTCAATGCATTCCTCATTTACAGAGATTCTGGGTCAAATTCAAGATGTAGACAGTGACCCAGACACGGGATGAATAATCAATATTCATTGTGCACAACTTTATCACAGGATTAAAAACAACATGAAAATCTAACCCAGCACCACAAAAACCTGAGCAGGCAGGCTGGAAAAATGAGTCCCATTCTGAAGACTATGGAAGTGAAAAGAGGCAATTTATGGCTTCTGAAAAGCATCCAGTCATCAGTTTCCTCAGGGCATCCTTGAGCTCCTGGTTCCTCAGGCTCATCCCAGGGGTGAGGAGAAGATGGAAAGGGCTTTCAGGTGGGCAAATGTGGCAGTGCTGACAAACAGGGAGACCACGGCCAGGTGAGGGAGACACGTGGAAAAGGCTTTGAGCTGTTCCTATTCAGAGGGGATCCTCAGCACAGCCCTGAAGATCTACACAGAAGAGAAAACAATGAAAACAAACCAGCCAAGTGATAAACAGGCCCTGAACACCATTGAAGGAATGGGAATTCCTAATGACAAGGGAGAGAGAACAAGGTATCCCAGCAAGAAGCCCTGGGATGAAGAGCTGCTGACACTTCCTCCTTGAGATTCTCGCATTAATTAGTGATAAGCAAAACTAACAGGGCTTGCTGTCCCTGGAGTAAATCTCTTTGGCCCTAATTTGTCCCATCAATCTTTGTAATTGTAATGAGAAACTGCTTGCCTTTGTGTTTGCAGAGAAACACTGCCCTGGATATCTCTGTCCCCTGAGCCCAGCCAGGAACAGATGGAAAATGTACCCTCTGTGCCCTGCCTTCCCCAAACCCTATAGATAGGAAAGTTTGCATTCAAGAAATGGTTCAGTTTGTACCTGCAAGCTGGTCCCTGAAGGTAAACACTGCACACCATGAGCCCAAGTTCCCTGAGGCTGGAGTGTGAGTAGGAGAGCTTGAGGATGTGTGGGATTTCCACAGCAGAACTGGCCCAGGGCATTGCCCTGGCACAGGGGCAGGGAAAATGTATTGGCTGTGTGCAGCAGAGCAGTGAGAAACCCAGAGGTCCAGGCAGCTGCTGCCATGTGGGCACAAGCTCTGCTGCCCAGGAGGGTCCCGTAGTGCAGGGGTTTGCAGATGGCAACGTAGCGGTCGTAGCACATGATGGTCAGGAGGGAAAACTCTGCTCCAAGGAAGAAGAAGAGCAGAAAGACCTGGGCAGCACATTTCCAACCTTTTCTTGTTTTTTCCTCTTTCTCTTTGCATCTTTTGGCAATTAATAAAATCAGATTTTGGTATCAAGAGATAACTTGTGTGAGTTTTAATTTTGCTCAGGGGAATATCCAAATCTGAAGTTCTTTCTGCAATATTTAAGCAGATTATAACAGTGGTACATTGTAGCAT